GTGGCTGAACATCGCACTGGCCATGGAAGAGGCGGGCGAACCCCACGCTGAGCTCCAGCCCTGCTTCCAAACCGCGCTGGAGCGAGCGGAGGCGGCCGGAGACCCCCGGCTGCAGGTGAGGGGGGGCAGAACGGGGATGGGGACCCCCCCCAGGGTTCCCCTTTGGGCTGAGGGCTGACCTTTCTCCCTCCTCTTCCTCCCCAGCGGCAGATCTTGCGGCATCTCCACTCGCTGCAGCTGCGGGATGGCGACACCGAGGCCGCCGCCGGTACCATGGCCCGGCTGGGGGGGTTGGGGGGGTCTGCTGAGGAGGAGGAGGAGGAGGAAGAACCAGAGAGCAGCGAGGCTCAGGATGAGAGCGAGCTGGAGCTGTCGGAGAGCGGTGAGGGGGCTCTGGGGGGTGCAGGGTCCCTGCTAGTGTCCCTGCAGGGGGGGTCTCCTTCACGGAGGCGGGTCTTCCTCATGGCAGGGGGGGTCTCTTCCAGAGGGGGAGGAAGATGAACTCGATGGCTACAGCAAGAGCGTCCCCAGCCGCCGGCGGATCAGCAAGGTGAGAGATGCCAGGTCTCCCCCTGACACCCACCAAGAGGGGTAGGGGGGGGTCTCCCCTTCCTCCAGCACCCCCAAAGAGGGGTGGGGGGTCCCCCCCAGGTGTTGGGGTGCATCCCTGGGGGTCCCCATTGTGTCCTCCCTCCCTGTGTCGGCAGTGGAACCGGCGGAACGAGCGGGGCGAGACCCCCCTGCACCGTGCCTGCATCGAGGGTGACCTGCGCCGCGTCCAGCTCTTCCTCAGGCAGGTGGGCGAGGGGACTGGGACCCACACCACAAGGGGGGGTCCCGTGGGACCTACGGGTGGTTTTGGAGTGGGGGGGGAGAGCGTAACTAATATGTGTCCCCCTCCTCTTTTCTAGGGGCACCCCCTGAACCCCCGCGATTACTGCGGCTGGACCCCGCTGCACGAGGCTTGCAACCACGGGCACCTGGGTGAGTTGGGGGGGGGACAGGGATGAAGACAAAGCCCCCCCCGGGGTGCAGGCAGAGCCCCCTCCCATCCTCACCGCTGTCTCCTCCCATCCCCCAGAGATCGTCCGGCTGCTGCTGGACCGCGGGGCTGCGTTGGACGACCCCGGGGGGCCAGGCTGCGAGGGCATCACCCCCCTGCACGACGCTCTCAGCTGCGGCCATTTCGAGGTGGCCGAGCTGCTGGTGCGGCGTGGAGCTTCGGTGACGGCCAGGAATGCCAGGGTGAGCTTGCTGGGATCGGAGAAGGCGGGGGGAACCCCAATATGGGGCTGGGGGGGACGCAGTGGGAGATCCTTGTGTCCTGTTCCCCCCCCACCTCCTCCCCGTAGGGCTTGACGCCGCTGGGGACGCTGGAGGAGTGGGCGAGCACTTACAGCAAGGAGCTGGACCAGGAGACGCGGCAGCGATGCCGGGCGGCCGAGTGCCTGCTCAAGGAGACGGCAGCGGGACAAGGTGGGATGCGGTGCGGCGATGCTGGGACCCCGTTCCCCTCTGCTTTTTTTTTGGGGGGGTCTGTGGTAGGCTGAGGGTGCCAGTGTGTGTGTGTGTGTCCCGCCAGCAGCCCCGCCGCAGCTCTCCCAGGACTCGCCGCTGTTCGACGCCGAACTTTCCGAGCGCCAAATCCCGCGGCCGCGCTCCCCGCCGGTGGCAGAGCCAGACGATGGCGACATGTCACCGCTGAGGCCGGTGAAGAAGCGGCAGCGGGTGTTGGGGCTCGGCAGGCAGGAGGGAACGGGGCCGGGGCCGGAGCCGGCTGAGTACGAAGCCGCCATCCGGGGTCTGGGCAGCGCCAAATCCCTTCTTGGTGGCAGCACCGAGATGGCGTGCCGGCAGCCGGCACTGCGGCCGGCCCTCATCCCAGCTGAGCAGTACCTGGAAGAGGAGGACTGGCTGGAAGACGACCTTGGGGAGTCCCGGGGGGGCCGTAAGCGGCCACGCCGGGAACCCCAGGAACCGGCGACCGCTTCAGGGGACAGCACGGGCCCGGAGAGCGACAATGAGGTCCCTGCTCCGAGCCGGCACCAGCCCCGGCGTCGCCGGAGTGTGCAGAGCCGGCTCACCCGCCCGGTGGAAAGGATCCCGCTGGGGCGCTCCCGGGAACGCCGGCCCCCCGAGGCGGCCGGGACCCCCCTCCCCGATGAGGCTGAGGACGATGGAAGCCCCCCCTGCCCACCTGCGTCGTTGCCTGCGCCGCTGCCTGCTGTCCTGCCTGCCCTCCGCGTGCGGGTCCGGGTCCAGGACAACGTCTTCCTCATTCCCGTGCCCCAGAGGTAAGAGCTTTGTCCCCCTCCTCTTCGTGACACCCTCCCCTCCACGTCCCCTTTGGGACCCCCGTGCCGGGCGGCAGCGCTCACCGGTGACCCCCCTTTCCCCTTCCCCGGTCCTGCCGTCACGGCAGCGAGAGCCGTGCCGTGAGCTGGCTGGCGGAGCGGGCGGCCGAGCGGTATTACCAAACCTGCGGGCTGCTGCCGCGGCTCACCCTCAAGAAAGAGGGGGCTCTCCTGGCCCCCCAGGACCTGGTGGGGGACGTCCTGCAGAGCAACGAGGAGGTGAGCGCCGAGCCCAGTCCCGTGCTGGGCATCGCCGGTGATTCCGGCGGTGCTGTTGTTGACGGCTCCGGCGTTGCAGGTGCTGGCGGAGGTGCGGTGCTGGGACCTGCCGCCCCTGGCCGAGAGGTACCGCAGGGCTTGCCAGAGCCTGGCAGTGGGTAAGGCCCCCCCCCCCGCCGCGTGCCCTTCCTGGGTGGTGGGCAAGGACCCCCAGCCTCTCCCCGGTCCCCTCGGGGACCGTCCCCACCGGTTGGGGGTCCCCGCGCCAGGTTGGGGGGGGAAACACACATCTGTGGCCAGTGCAGGGCTGTCGGCAGGATTAGGGGGTCCATGAGGGGGCTCAGGGCTCCCCAAGGGGGAGGGGGGTGGTCTCCAGGGCCACCAAATGCCACTGACACCTTCTACCCCCCCGGCAGAACCTCACCCGCTGCTGCTGAAGCTGACGGAGCTGCAGGAGCAGAGCCCGGGGCTGGGGGTCGAGGGGGGCCTGGCCCTGCGCCCCCCCCACCTCCCCCCGCTGCTGCGGGCCCTCAAGCTGCAAGCGCCGCTGCGGCAGCTCCGGTTGCGCGGCTGTGGGTTGCCGGACACCATGGCCGGCGACCTGCTGGCCACCTTGGCCACCCTGCCTGCCCTCACCCTCCTCGACCTGGCCGGGAACCGTCTCGGTGCCCAGGGGCTGCGGCAGCTCCTGCCCCGGAATCCCGGCACTGCCGGCACCGCCGGGGCCTTCCAGGTAGGGCTGGGGGGTGGGAACAGCGGTGGGAGCCCCGGCTCTGTCCCCGGGAGTCCCGGCACTGGCTTTGCCTGGCTGAGACGGGTGTCACGGTGTGGGGTGCCCAGACGGTCCCCCCCCATATCTCACCTTTGTCCGCCAAATCTCGTCTGTTCCCCACTAAACCTCTTGTTCCTATGTCCCCATAACCCGTCCCCCCCCAACCTTCCCTTTGTCCCCTAAACCTCTTGCCTCTGTCCCCCAAACGCCTTCTCTGTCCCCCAACTTCCTTGTCTGTCCCCCAAATCTCTCCTTTGTCATCCACATCTCTCACGTCTTGTCTTAAACCCTTTGCCCATCCCCTAAACTGCTTCTTTGTCCCCTAAACCTCTTGTCTGCTGCCACCCGTCCCGGCAGAGCCTGGAGGAGCTGGACCTGAGCCTGAACCCGCTGGGTGATGCCAGCTGCCGGCCCCTGGCCCTGCTCCTGCAGTCCTGCCCGGCGCTCACCACACTGCGGCTGCAGGCCTGCGGCTTCACCGACGCCTTCTCCCTCGAGGGTAAGAGGCCGCGGCACCGCGCTGGTAGTGCCGGGTACCTGGCGGTTCTAACCGCGCTGGCGTTTGCTCCCAGGGGCCGTGCGGCTGCAGACCTTGGCTCTGTCCTACAACGCCCTGGGGACGGCGGGGCTGGAGCGGCTCCTCAGCAGCTTGCCATGCCGCAGCCTCGGCCGGTTGGAGCTGGGCTCCGTCGCCGGGCCGGGACCGCGGCCCCTCACCAGGACCCTCGGCAGGTACCTGGCACAGGTGAGAGCGGTCCCCGAGGGGACGCGGCGCGGTGGGGGGGGACACCCGCTCCCCGGGAGGGGCTGGCCGGGGTTGTGCCGACACCGGCGTGCCTTTCCCGCAGGAGGGCTGCGTTCTGAGCCACCTCACGTTCTCCGGGAACCGCCTGGGTGACAGCGACGTCCTGGAGGTGGCCAGGTGAGGGGACAAGGGGGCATCTGGGGGTGACAGATAGACTGGGGGGGGTCCTGGCAGCAGGCTCATCCTCCATCTCCCAAGGGAGACCCCCCACGCCGGCTCCGGCATGGGAACACGGTGTGGCGGGGACACCGGGAATGGAGGAGACCCCTCCTGGGGACAAGGAGGGGACCCCCTCGCCATCTTCCCCCCCACCCGCAGGTGCCTCCCCGCTTGCCCAGCGCTGGTTTCCCTGGATTTCTCGGCCAATCCCGGGATCAGCACCACGGGGCTGCGGACGCTGCTTTCCGCCCTGGAAGAGAGGAGCCAGGGGCTCCAGTTCCTCAGTCTGGCAGGTACGGCGACGGCGCAGGCAGGAATGGGGTGGGCAAGCCCCCGGGACCTAACGGCAGCCCCTTCCTCCCTCCTTCCCAGGCTGTTCTGTGGAGGGTCCGTTGGACGACACGACCTGGGCCAGAACCGCCGGCAAGATCCAGGATCTCCGGCTCTGCGGTCGGCACGTCAGCCGCAGCGACCAGCAAAATGCCGGCAAAGCCTGGCGCGGTCCTGCCGGCACAGCGCTCAGCACCGTTGTGCAGCACCGTAAGCTCTTCTGTAAGAGCCTCTAAAGCGCCGGCATTGCCGGCGTCTTGTGGTTTTAATCGGCGTGGCCATTACACACCATATTTATGAACGTGGCTGGTGCTTTTTGGGGTCCCGGCGTCACCGGCGCTCGCGAGGCAGGTGAGGGATGAGGGGTTTATTGTCCTCGACTTCCTCTTAACGCCAGTAAGGACTGGGAGGGGACTGGGAATCTCAAACCGGGAGGGAGCGGCGGTGCCGGCACGTGCTGGATGGCTCAGGAGTGGAGGAAGCGGTTGAAGGCGTTGTAGGCAGATTCCAGGTCGAACAACATCTGCCGGACCTGGGAATCATCCAGCTCATCTGACGCCGACATCCCGCTGAGCGTCTGGAGCCTGGGAGAAGGCGGGGGGGCCGCGTCAGCGGCACGCCGGCACCCCAAAAACGGTGCCGGTAACGGTGCTGGCACCCTGGCACTCACCATTGGTTGACTTTCTGCCTCCCCTCAAAGTCGGGGGGCAGGTGGCTCATGCGGTTCATTGTCTCCATCAGCTCCCGTAGGTCTGGCTGGATCTGGGGAGAGAATTGGGGGTGAGCCGCCGCGCCGGTGTTGCCAAACCGGGACTCCGGGGGCTGCCACGGCACACGGCTGAGCAGCGGTACCCTACCTCGTCCATGGCTCGGATCTCCAGGCGCAGCTTATCCATCACCGTGATGAAGAGCTGGGAGGGAAGGAGTATTCGGCTCAACCACGACCCTTCCCACCCTCCCCAAACCACTGAAGCCGAGCCCCAGCAACCCCCCGGCACCGTACGGAGACGATATCGGCAATGCAGCGGTTGAGGTTGCCCTTGTCGTCCTTGATGGTGATGGGCCGGTCCTCCTTGATCCTCTCCATGGCCAAGGGGCAGTCGAGCTGCGGGGAGACGACGCCGTGAGCGCCATGACCGGCGCCCGCGAAGCCCCGGCACCTGCCAAGAGTACCGGCAGCGCCTCAGCTCACCCGGAACTTGCGGCAGAAGTCGTCGATGGAGCTGATCTCGGAGCCCTGCACTTGCTTGAGGGCGGCTTTGAACTGGACCAGGAGGCGGGAGCAGGCAGCCGTGTACCTGTGGAGGGACAGGGCAGGGAGGGGACGGGCTCGTCCCCCCCCCACAGGGACACGACCGACCCTCCCGAGGGCTCCGTTGCCCCAGAACTTACTCGTTAGGAGAGACGCAGTCCTTGATGTAGGCTTTCTCCAGAGCCTGCAGCGTCTTCACCACCGCGAAGAGCTCGGCCATGTTGTCGTACCTGTAACCGCAACCGGGACCGCGGTGGAGAGCAGTGTCCCAAGAGGGGGACTGCGATGGATAAGAGGGGGACCGCGATAGAGAATGGGGGGACTGTGATGGAGAATGGGGGCGTCACGGTGGAAAGCAGTGTCCCAGGAAGGACTGCAATGGAAAAGAGGGGACGGCGATGGACAACGGTGTCCCAGGAAGGACGGGGATGGAGAAGAGGGGACCATAATGGAGAGAAGGGGACCACGGTGGAGAGCAGTGTCCCAAGAGAGGGGACTTCCATGGAGAGCATTCCAAGAGGGACCACGACGGAGAAGAGGGGACTGTGACGGAAAGAAGGGCACCACAATGGAGAACAGAGGACTGTGATGGAGATAAGGGAACCGTGGTGGGAGAGAAAAGGACCACAATGGGAGAACAGGGGACCACGGTGGAGAGAGAGGTTCTAGGAAGGACGGCGATGGAAAAGAGGGGATGGTGATGGACAATGGTGTCCCAGGAAAGATGGTGATGGAGAAGAGGGGACTGTGATGGAGAATGGGGGACCACAATGGAGAGAAGGGGGGACTACAGTGGAGAGCAGTGTCCCAAGAGGGTCCGCAATGGTGAGAAGAGGACCACGATGGGAGAATGGGGGACCGCGGTGGAGAGAGAGGTTCCAGGAAGGATGGTGATGGAGAAGGGGAGATGGCGATGGACAGCTGTGTCCCCGGCA